AATACCATGAGCGATGCGAAAGACTAAGATTAGAACCCCTCTGGAAAAGACGCCTTAAGTTAAACCTTATCTTTTACTATAAGCTAACTGATCTTCTCTTGCATTCCTCCGAGCCAATGACTAAACCTACCGCTGTCATCAGTTACGATCTTAGAAATCATCACAGCCTATCTGCTATGGAGCACTGTCAGACTTACGTGCGGTACAACTTCTTCTTAAATAAGTTTTCAGTCACTTGGAATAGACTACCAGCTAATGTGCGCGATGCAAACACACTTCCGATGTTCATCTCCTCAGTCATCAGACTGCTCAAAGATGACAATGCACTTTTGCGCCTGACTCTTACACCTTCTTTTTCACCATACATAGATATTTTAAGTTCTTTAAACGTGTAGTTACAACCAACTACAATTATAAATTTTAATATTATTGGAACTAGATGATAAACATTTCTACACAGGACAGTAATATTAGTTCACACATAATATAAAAGTTAGCGTAACGGGACTAGTTAGTTAATGAACAAAAAATAAGCATAGTTACAAAACAGAATATATATGTATATATTTATTAATCACTCCTTAAGGACTCCCGTTGCTTTCTTTTGCGTTGCTGTTGTTTGTCTTCTTTTTTCTCTCACAATTTCAGCTTCTATTTGACTTTTTGAATGAGAATGAATAATGTGGATATTTGACCATTTACAATGACAAATGATCTGCAAACATTATTGGTCCCGAATCTTTCAGTTGCCTGGTTAATAACGAATTAACTTTCTCCACGACGCAACCTGGTTTACATTTGTGGAATATACTCTTATACCAATGGAAAAGTATGTATTTTGAATATGACGTCACGATTGTAGGTTGTAACATAACTGATCGTATCTGTAAAATAGCTTCTTTATTACCTAAGTTGGATATAAATCAAATCAAAAATAAGATTCGGATTTGTACACACCCAAGTTATATTAAGGAATTACTTCAAGCTTTCCTTTTTCCCAAGTATTTTTAATCCATCGAAAACATACTTGGGTTTTTTTGTTAATGCGAAGGCAGTATTCCTATATTTCATGACGTGCTCCATTGAATGACTGGTTATCATATTGTTCCCACAGACCTAAGATAAAAACGCCAGCAACCATGTAACTTAACCATAAACCGAATTTATGAAATTTAAATAATGCTTACCCATGCCTGTATATCTGGTGTGTCCTACACAAGTAGGAAAAAATGTGTATTTTATTAAAACATTATTATTAATTATGATTGCTAATCGTATATGTAATTTATCATATTGATGATGCCTGTAAACTGGCGTCTCTCATGTACAAAATGAGAATATTCTATTATTATTATTATTCTACATTGAGTACATTTCACTCGTGATGTTACGACGAAAATGCTGAGAAAATTGTACAAGTGTATCACTTATTTTAATTATTACCAAATTTGGATATAAATCAAGGATAAGATTCGGTTTTGTACACACCGAATTAACTTTCTCCTCGACGCAGCCTGGTTTACATTTTTGGAATATACTCTTATACCAATGGAAAACTTATAACATAACTGATCGTATCTGTAAAATAGCTTCTTTATTACCTAATTTGGATATAAATCAAATCAAAAATAAGATTCGGATTTGTACACAACCAAGTTATATTGGCGAATTACTTCAAGCTTTATTTTTTCCCAAGTATTTATAATCCAACCAAAACACTTGGATTTTTTGTAAGTGCGAAGACCATCTTTCTATACTTCTTGATGTTCTCCTGTCAGCCACGTCTCGTAAACCGTTAATGCCCAGCTCTTGCTATGCTGGGCCTCACGCTGTTCCTCGAAGCTTCTCAGAAACGCTTAGTACGAACGGACGCAAAAACCAGAACCCAGTTTGGCTACTCGAGAATTATTTATTCTAACACCAACATATAGCCAACTTCGCAACTAAGGTCTATGAACAAATATTACAATAATAAATCACAATATTACTTCTGATGGTTTACTGCTGACTTCTTTCTGAACAGCGACCGATGAGACGATGACTGGCTGATTGATGCTTCCGTGAAAATTGGGGAAGTTGGTTTTGAGCAAACAACCATGAATTGATCGTTCAATCTTCAACTACATTGACAGCTCCATTATCATACTGTTCCCACAAGCCAAAGACAAAATCGTCAGCAACCATGTAATTTAACCACAAACCGAATTTATGAAATTTAAATAATAGAACTGGTGTGTCCTACGCAGGTGGGAACAATATGTATTCTATTAAAATAATATTATTAAGTATGATTGCTAATCGTATATGTAATTTATCATATTGATGATGCCTGTAAACTGGCGTCTCTCATGTACAAAATGAGAATATACTATTATTATTATTATAAATAAAATAGAAACATTCGTTCTCAATCATTGATTCCACAGCTAATCTTTGTCTATGTGTACATGTCATTCTCCGAACTAGCCTTCCCGGCGTTTGCAACCCATCTGCTGTCTTTAGCATTAATGAATTCATTCACGGATGTAGAAGTATGGAATTTTCAGCATGAATATCGGTAGCCCAAATTTTGCAGGCCGACCATAGATATCAGGTGTGTGCCGGCGTGGGCTCGAACCCCGGACCATGTGCATGGTCGGCGAGAGTCCTAACCACTGTGCCACCGACGCACATAATTATTATTATTACAGTGTAATTGAAGTGTACACGAGACGAATAATTGAATATTTTGAGTTGTAGCGATCGTAGTAATATTTCGCTTACGTTGATTTACGCCTACAATTACTTTATCGGGTCTCATTGATAAGTCAGTCCTCCATCTCGTCCTGATGACAAATTAAGTTTCACTCAGATAGAATACGAAAAGTATGTTAAGCAGGATGTTAAATTTATTTAATGAAAAATAATAACAAGCAAATGTCTTTACGCAGTTGTCTGTCGTAATTACTTCGGCGGTGTCGGATTGCTGTGACCGGGTTGACTGACGCTACCGGATATCTGCAAATAAGTGAAATAAGTGTATGTTTTTAAATCGCTGAGGTAAAAAAGAAGTAATATTAAGGTCAAACGCTTTATGTTTGCCCACCTTTGCTGAAAAAGGTTTATTCTCCTTTCTCATTCTTCGGCCATGACGGCATTCTTCTGTGGCTTTCACTATCACACACATTTTCCATGCAAAGCATAGCTCCAAGTAAATAATAGTAATTTAATATGTCGTATAAGTGGGTGTTTACAAGTAATGCGTGTCATTTCTTCAGGCACAATAAGTTACGTTCTGAGTCGCAATCGTGAAATATCATAAATTAATACTTTTTCAAAAGTTTAAGTCGTTCAATTATCCTACGAGTAATTAGAACAGGTTATGATAAGTGTTAACTTGTAAAGCATTAACAATGAACAGTTTATAGCAAACTTCATTATATCTTCATTTTCACCAACACTCCCTTCACGCACAAAGGCATTCAGTCACTACATAAACTGAAGCATTATAACATGAAGATCACAAAATCCCTACAGATAATTTGTTTAATAATTATTGCTATCAGCCAAGTCTCATAAACCGTTAATGTCCAGCTCTTGCTACGCTCGGGCTCACGCTGTTCCTTGAAGTTTTTCAGAAACGCATAGTAATAACGGACGAAAAAACCAAAACACCGATTGGCCGCTTGGGAATTCTTTATTGTAACACCAACATATAAAAATAATGTTTTACTAGGGTCTGTGAACAAATATTACAATAATAAATCACAAGATTACTTCTGATGGTTTACTGCTGACTTCTTTCTGAACAGCGACCGATGAGACGATGACTGGCTGATTGATGCTTCCGTGAAAATTGGGGAAGTTGGTTTTGAGCAAACAACCATGAATTGATCGTTCAATCTTCAACTCCATTGACACTCCCCGCCAGAAAAAGGGATCCAACCCCTTTTTTCCATCACGACCAATACACGTTGACTTGGATGCCATTGCGAGAACCTGGGTCACACGGACAGAGCAGAAATGCAAAACAAACAGAAAAGCCAACACACCACAAGCATACCCACAGCACAATCTCACACATCAATGACGACCTGCACCTTCCAGTTAAAGGCATCCTCTTGCAACACAATCGCCACTTGCTAGAATGACTCTTGCAGAATGCAACGTGTCCATAGCAGCACCTCATGATACTCTTAGCACATCCTCTTATCTACTCACTACCAATTACCACTGAAATCGCTTGTCACTCATTCCGCTTCAATTCTAGCAACGATGACGTATGCAAGCCTTAGTCGTCTACACTCTTTCTCCCGGCGTGCCGGACCGCAGCTAACAATTATCTCCGTGTGCATTTCATTCTCAGCAATAGCCTAGCCTCCCTGGCTTAAACGACCCATCTGCTGTCCTTAACATCAATCAATTCATTCACGGATGTAGAAGAGTGGACACAACTTCAGAAGTAATCACGACGAAAATTTTAACAAAATTATGTAATAACAACAAGATACGAAAACAACAAGTAAACACAATTAATCCAAAAACACCAATTGATAGGACATACCACACATATATACAAACAGAACAAACAAACTCGCAGATCGTCTCTCGAAGGAATTCCTTTGAAGAATCGCAGGACTTGGAGCAGTTCGCCTACAACCCTTCACAGGTTGACGATTGTAAGTTGTGGAATTTTCGGACACAAACAAGATTAACCAACAATTACAATAATTGGAACTCACACAATTTGTTTAACACATACATATGTACAATCAACACATCAAATGTTGTGGATTCTGGTACAACAAACTACCCTTGAAGAACCGTAGGACTTACAGCAGTACGCCTACATTCCTTCTCAGGTTGATCATCCAAGTGGAAGTCGTCCGGACACAAACAGAATTACCAACAGCTAGATGACAGATGATATCAATTCAGTATATACAATATGAACATATGTACAAAATCACACACCAAGCACACTGGACTGCTAACTGATGCGCTACCCTTTGGAGAATTGTAGGACTTACAGCAGTACGCCTACAACCATTCTCAGGTTGACGCCCTAGGTTGGAAAATCGTCGCAGAGTTCATTTGCTGACTTCCTTCTATCAGCTATATCCTCAAATCTGAACGGCAACACACCCATGTCATTGTATCGTAGAATATAGATGACGAACAAACACACGACATATCTCATCAGCCAAGTGTAGAAACAGAGTAATTTACACCAAAGATAATAGCATTCAAATAGTAACTTGAAACTAGAAACGCCTTTATTCATGCAAGTCAATTTAACAATTACTCTCTCGTTTACACTTGGCTTATTCTCACTAAACTGACCATTGATATTCGTCCTTTCAAACGAACTGATACTAGCATAGTCATTGCACAAGATACTTGAGTTCATGGGCGTCTTTTTCATTGTGGATGTAAACACCAACGACGACTGAATGACACAAGGTGATGAACTTAGCGGTGGATCAGAAGCTGTTGTTGCTCGGCTTTCAGATAGTTGTCCGACTGCAAGATTACCACTGTTGTCTTTTACTATCAGCTCTGGTTTAGCAATAGCATCTGATGATAGGTGGGCTACACGCTGATCAATTACACTGACTGTCTCACAAGTATGCACACCTTCTGGAACTGCATCTGCGTTCAATTCTACTTCACGTTGTAGTTGTACAGAACCTTTAATTAACTTAGCAGTAGTAGGCATATCCCTCATTTCATCATGATCAACCAAATACAACTGTGAAGTATCATGATCATTATCACAAATATTCAATTTACCGTCAAGTTCATCATTTTCAAACTATTTGTTAACAGCAGTAGACAATTTTGGTTCCTCCTCACAAATCATTAAAGGTTTTATATCTTCACTCTGACTAGTTATACTTTGTAAACTTGTGGAGTCAGAACTGCACTCTGAAGCAGTAACTCTATTCTGTGACACTCTATTCAACAATGGCTTACCAGTTGCAACTACAGGCTTCCTTACCACACCGTTATCGTCACACAATTCGGAGTCAGGCCTGGAGTTTACGTTTAGCTTATCACTGAACTTGCTCACTGGTTCACAGCCCACCTTTGTATGCACCTCTTGCAAACGTGTAAAACACAACCGTGTTTGTCTTGCATCTTGTAACTTATCTGTTGAGGATGTACTACGAAACCTGTTACACTCATTAGGTCTATATGCATTACTAGACATCATGGAGCCTTCTCGATATCCACCTCTCTGAGGCCTACTCGTCATCAATGATTGCATTTTGATCTCAGACTGCTCTATTCTAGGGGTGAGATGTAATAGACTGGCAAACTTGCTCATAGATTGATTGACACTAGTATTTACCAGTTTCAGGATATCATCAAACTTTGGCTCGATACCCTCATCCTCCATACGGGAGCTTATCTTCACCCACTTAAATAAATAAATAAATTTATTCTCATGATACAGTACATGAGGGACGCCAGTTTACAGGCATCATCAAATTGTTACAGAAATAGGATCATATTATTCAGTCACAATTTACAGTCGATAGCAAAATATGTTTAACATGTACACTGGAGATTATACGTACACTTGATAAATGTTAATCCGAATAGTATAAAACATCCTTTTCACTTATGTACAATCATTTCTGTGCATAGTTGGAAAAATCCGCTAGATTTTCAGTGAGTGCAACACATCAGGAAATACAGAAGTATTGTCTTCGCATTAACAAAAAAACCAGGTCTTTGGTGGATGGGTTATAAGTGCCTGGGAAAAAAATAAAGCTTGAAGTCAGTTTTCATACATAATTTTCTTGTGTACAGAATCCTTGATTTATAGTTCATTGATGTGTTATTTTGAAATCAGAGAAATGTTTATTTCATTGAAATAAGTAAATAGATGGATTGATTCTCATGGTACAGTACATGAGGGACGCCAGTTTACAGGCATCATCAAATTGTTACAGAAATAGGATCATATTATTCAGTCACAATTTACAGTCGATAGCAAAATATGTTTAACATGTACACTGGAGATAATACGTACACTTGATAAATGTTAATCCGAATAGTATAAAACATCCTTTTCACTTATGTACAATCATTTCTGTGCATAGTTGGAAAAATCCGCTAGATTTTCAGTGAGTGCAACACATCAGGAAATACAGAAGTATTGTCTTCGCATTAACAAAAAAACCAGGTCTTTGGTGGATGGGTTATAAGTGCCTGGGAAAAAAATAAAGCTTGAAGTCAATTTTCATGCATTACTTTGTGGTGTGCAGAATCCTTGAATTATAGTTCATTGTTGTGTTATTTTGAAATCAGTGATATGTTTATCTCATTTGATGTGCAATGTCATTGTTGGGAGTAAAATACATAAGCTTTAGACGCATTAATTAATGGATTTTTACTGCTTGTGGATATTTACTTCTCGTGAGGAAGGTTTTTGAATTTTAGTTGTTCCGACAGGAGTTGTGGATATTGACTGCTCAGCAACATTATGGATATAAGTTCATCACATTATCTCAGGAATGTTGGGTTGTAGTTGGTGATGCATATATGATGTCCGACGAGCGTACATCTGTCCATGTGATGTTGTGGTGAGTTATAACCTTTTTCATGTTGTCAGTTTATGTCCATTTTATTCCACTTATTGTGTTGGGTAGAAGTTTTACAAACGAAACTTCTTGTCTGTTTGAGGGTAAGTATCTTAATCGTTAATGTTTTATCTAAAATTATAAATATAGGCAAAAACAGCAGGTGTAGTATTTGAACTTATACATTAAATGGACCTATAATTTCGGAGGCTCTCAGATAGGAACTAAGACTACTGTCGTTTGCAAACTCGTGTAGTTTGTCGTTAAGCACTTTTTTGAAGGAAGCCAATGTACCTGCTTGACGCATTTCCATTGGTAGTTTATTCCATATCTGTGCATACCTAATCAAATAAAACTTTTGCCTGGTAGCTGTTTTACATTGTTCAATAGCTACTGTACCCTTAGTGTGTCTTAGTTTGTAGACACTGTCATCTGAAAGTCGAATGCCATTAGTAGAGGTAAAAACTAAGTGGTTTAGAAGCTTATAGTAAAGTGTTAAGTTTAGTCTCAGGCGTCTTAGCCATAGTGTTTCTAATCCTAGGATGTCACATCTAGTGGAGTAGTTCGCACCATTTTCGGTTCCGAGTAATTTTGACGTGAAGTACCTCTGCACTCCCTCGACTTTCAATTTGTCCTCTATGCGTATACTACTATACATGAATGAACAGTAATCAAATAAAGGACGCACACAAACCTTGTACAACAGAATTCTGGACTCATTTCTGTAAAAGTTCCTGAGTAGAAAGCCGATAAGTCTGCGTGACTTTGACACTTGTTTGGAGATATGTTCAGAAAATGATAAGTCATGTGAGTATTTCAGTCCTAGGTCCAATACAGATTCCAGTCGTAAAAGTGCATGGCCTTGAATTGTCAGGTCAAGTTCTAAATTGTTGCAACCTATGCAGAGCCAGCCACATTTGTCGACATTAAACTGGAGTTGCCAGGTGTCACACCATCTGTCCATTTTTTCTAATTCTTGCTGTATGGCGTTTAATGTTATTCCGAGATCTGTGTTCTTGCATTTATAGGTCACTTTTAAGTCATCTGCATATAGTATTGGTTTACCAACACTAAAGCATTCACAGATACTGTTTATATATATTATGAATAGGAGTGGGCCTAATACACTTCCCTGGATTACACCACTACTTACAGGTTTTGGCCTTGAGATTATCGAGCCAACTTTTGTTATCTGATTCCTGTCACGCAGAAATGATTTTATCCAGCTCAGGAGAGGGTCACATATCCCTAGTGAGCATAACCTGCTGACTAGCAGATTATGGGGGACTCTATCGAAGGCTTTTGTTATATCGAAGTATAGCACAATTACTAGTTCTCTGTTGTCCCTGCTTCGTGTAACTTCATTGAAAAAGTCTATGTGACAGGTCGCACATGATCTCTTTTTGAGGAATCCGTGTTGTGATGGGTTGATAAGTTCATGTTCTAGTAAGTTGTCTGACACTTGGTCTTTAACCACTTTCTCCATTATTCGTGATATTACCGGTGTTATATTAATAGGTCTATAGTTGCATGCACTGGTTTTGGCCCCTGCTTTGTGCTTAGGTAGTATGTATGTGGTTTTCCACACTTCAGGATAAGTTCCAGTTTCCAGTGACAGAGTAAATATTCTAAGTAACAAGACTACCATTTCCGTGCTACCATTTTTGTATATGACAGATGGTATGTCGTCTGTTCCAGTACTGCCATTTGACTTCAATGTCTTAATCGCTGAGTCTATATTTTGCATATTAAAATCTATTTCTCCTAATTTGTGGTTACTTTTGCAGGTCATTTGGAAATTTGGGGTCGAGTGCACTCTGGTGTCATTGCAAAACCACTCACTGAGGAGTTCACTTATTACCTGGGGATCGTTGTATATTACACCCCTATGTTCCAAGATGCTTACATTATTGTCTTTACAGCTTTTTAGACGTTTTTGCAATATCCTACAAAGTTCCTGAGTTTTGGTGTTACCCATTAGCGCTTTATTTTCCTCATGTTGTGACTTCATTTTGTGTTTCTCTTCAAGCAGTTTAAGAGTTTCATGTATTTGGTTTAACGCATTAAATTCCTTAAATACATGGTATTTCCTTTTCAATTTCTTTAGTTTTAGTCGCGTTTTCCGGTCAATAAATGGAGTTGGTGTCTTTAGGGCAGATTTTAGGGGCGCGATTGTGTCTCTTGCTGAGCCAACTGTTTTGTAGAAAATCTCAAGTGATGCTTCTAAGTTATTGTTGATGAAGTATTCTTCCCAGTCAGAACTTCTCAACAGATCTGGTAGGAATTCCCAATCTGCATTCTTATAATCCCTATATTGATAGCGCACCGGGGAATTTTTAGGTGTGTATTTAGTTGTTAGTCGGAGGGGGAGCGTGCAGTACAATATGTTGTGATCACTGTTATCGAGTTTATTTCCCACCTCTATCGAGATGGGCTCTATGTTATGACAGAGGATTAAGTCAAGAGTATTTTGGTTCCTTGTAGGGAGGCGCACGCACTGCTTCCATCCTCCTATGTCTATAGCTTGTAGTAGCTCTTCATGGGTTCTTGGTCCTGTACAGGTATCCCAGTTTACTCCAGGTAAGTTGAAATCTCCACATACTACTTTGAAGTCGAAGTCCAGCGTAGCTACATGCTCTAGTATTTCTGCAATAGTTATATCAGTCATTTCAGGGCTATTGGGGGGTCTGTATATACATCCCACGAGAATTTTACTTTCGTTTGTGTGGATGCTTATCCACTTAGATTCTGGGAGTTTGTCAGTATTTGGGTTATTGAAAGTATTGGAGTTAGTGGATTTATAGGCATATATTAAGCAACCACCTCCTCTTTTGTCAACTCTATCGTTCCTATAGATGTCGTAGTTGTCTATTACCAGCTTTGTGTCAGGTATATCAGTAGTAAGCCAGGTTTCAGTCACCATTATTAGTGTTGGCCGTTCTATGTATGCCAGGCAGCGAAGCGTTGTTATTTTATTAAGGAGAGATCTAGCATTCAGGAGCATAATTGTTAGTAAACCAGAGTTATTGGAGGAGAGGTTAACATGGTTACTTGTCACTATCCCTACGTTATGTTTGGAGGGGCTCTGAGGTGAGACAGAGTCAGTGTGTGTACTATTTCCTGGATGAACTGTGCAGCGAGTGGGGCTATTGTTTGCTGCAGCCGAAAATAATCCTGTTGCATATTTTGACTATTAGCATCCATGGGTCGGCATCTGCGTTGATCTACTGGTGATATATGGTCTGCCCTGCAATTTGGGTTGTAGTTTGCTGGACCTAGGTACCCTGAGTTAAGATTACCCTGGTAGTTGTACCTCATGGGGCTTTCATAGCCATATGCATATTGGCTCACGTCACGTTTGTGAGTGAAGTTATTGAGGGGATCAAGTGCCGACCTGTTCTCATTAAGTTGATGAGGTTTAATATAGATAGTGCGAGAGTTTGGACGAGGATTTTCGTTAATATGGTGCCTATATGAGTCCCGTTTAGTGCTCCATATATCCTGAGGATCCATTCTACGTTGCATTCCCAAGTTATGTGCGTTGTTAGGCATGTTACTTCTAGTTCGGGAAGGGGTATTCCTTCTCACATGCTGCGTGACGTCTTTGGGAATGTGCTTCGTTACCCATGCTTTGTCATTTTTTAGACTGACACGCTGCTTATTAGACTTATTACGAGGGAGGTATGTCGAAGTCTGGGGTGGGACTCTGGGTTTTGTGGTCCTTTTTGCGGTTTCTACTGAGGGACTCTCTGGCTTGGATCCAGATTGAGAGTGGTCTGCCAGTAGTTTCTGGTCAGCCATAGTTTGTGCGTCTATGTCAACCTTATGTAGGTCAGCAGGTTTTCGAGATGTGCTCTCGTGCACTCTAAGATTGCACCCAGTGGCACTGCTCTTACTGAGTTTTGGGTCGCTCTTACTTGCCGTTTTCTCTCCTAACACTATACACGTGACTTGCTGTGCTTCAGTGTCCGTCGACACTTTAGCACTGATACCAGATGTATTTCTCAGTGTTGTCAACTTTGTATCGAAGGAGTTCTTGGTTGCTTGCCTTTGGTTTGGTGTTTTATCCGAGACTACTTTAATAGTCTTGAATTTAGTGGCAGTAGCCAGAAGATCTTCGGCCATCTTAAATCGTTCAGCTGTTATGTAGCTGTCGAACCTAAAGAGTATAGGACAAGGATGCTTTAGGTCTTTTTTGCTTAGGCGAATGCACTGACAAGGTGCATTCAAGAGATTAGCAGCCTTCAGCAATGAGTGCTGGACTGACTTTATGGGCTCGCTATCCGGTACATTATACACTATTGCGTTTTGTTTTGAAGCCAGCCTTCTAACAACTTCGCTGGATAGAAAGTCGATGGCGTTTTCTAACTCCTTCGCACTTTCTGAGTCAGTATGAGTCATTCTAGAGGTCATATTAAAAAGCTTTAGGATTGTAGGATCCTGCAGTTCCTTTTTCATACGTGAGACAGTTTCGGGTATACATTCTAGTGAACTTAATTTCGTTTTTAATTCATCTATCTGTAGCTGCATCTCTTTAATTACGCAGGTTAAGTAAGAGAGCTCTACTTTTTCAGACAGAACATCTTCCACCTGTATTACAGGGGTCAGAGTTATGTTCGAGTCTTTTATGTTGGGTGAACTACTAATAATATGGGGTGGTAATGTGTTATTAGACGAGCCGGTGCTATTTTCTAAATTACTGGTGTTCACACGAACACGCTTTTTAGAATTTTGAACCATCGTTATTAAAGATCAATTATTAGTAACCAATAAATGAATATAAACGAAAACACGTGCAAAAGCGTCACCTGATTCGAACGTACCGGGCGAAGAGCAGTAACATCAACCATGTCATGCTTAACATCAGACACATCGTTACAATTAACAGACAAGTCACCATGACTTACTTTCTTGTTTGCATCCAAGACGCTCTGTCCCTTCTTTGACCCAGGCGTTGTTGAACTTGAACCAATTTCAAAAACGTTCCAGATATTGCTTGTTCAAAGAGGACTTGACCGGCACCACGAAAGATGAACGGTGACTATCCAAACTTTCACCAACTGTCTGAATCCGCCAGATCTGTTTCTACCATCAGAAACTGTCAGTCACGTCTCGTAAACCGTTAATGCCCAGCTCTTGCTACGCTCGGGCTCACGCTGTTCCTTGAAGTTTTTCAGAAACGCTTAGTAATAACGGACGAAAAAACCAAAACACCGATTGGCCGCTTGGGAATTCTTTATTGTAACACCAACATATAAAAATAATGTTTTACTAGGGTCTGTGAACAAATATTACAATAATAAATCACAAGATTACTTCTGATGGTTTACTGCTGACTTCTTTCTGAACATCGACCGATGAGACGATGACCGGCTGATTGATGCCTCCGCGAAAATTGGGGAAGTTGGTTTTGAGCAAACAACCATGAATTGATCGTTCAATCTTCAACTCCACTGGCAAATGCTATAAAGATATGAGTCATATATGCACCTTCCATATAATTCATAGCCGCAAGTAATTCACTAGGGATCTCAGAATATCTTAGTGATCTGTAATCGAATAATTATTAAGAGCGGTATAACTTATGTAACAGGTGTCTTAGTCTTAGTACACAGCTGCTAGCTACTAATCGACAGAAAGCTGATACCAATTTTAAGTAGTCTGACGTTTTGGAAAACCATCTATACTAATCTTCGTGATCCGATGCACACTGATATCAACATAATCTGATGCCATGTTATTCACTGAGCAATCACGGTCTTCTGAAATTCCATGTGCAAATGTCACTTAAACCAGTATCACATCTCTGCCTACGCAATTTTCACTCGGAACTTCAAAATAGATAAAATCATCAGGAAAATCAGCAGCCTGTTTCATTCATCGCATGATATGGAATATTTCAGTCATCACGTATGATAAGAGAAGTGTTTAACATCCGCAAAGCATACATCTAACTTATGTCTATGGGCTATTTCCCTTTCAAATGCCCGACTCTCATAGAATAACTGAGATGAAAATAGGCATTGCCTGTAGTTAATTTACAACCTTAAGATCTAAAACGACTCCGAACCAACAAAGCCTCAAGGCTCTAAAACGCAGATAATAGTCTTTCTATGCGAAATTACTTAAAAAGGATTACCTTATTAGTAAAAATTCGTTTGGGCTATCAAGACAACTTTACGCATTATTACGAACAAAATACAGCAGAGTTGTCAATGGAGTTGAAGATTGAACGATCAATTCATGGTTGTTTGCTCAAAACCAACTTCCCCAATTTTCGCGGAGGCATCAATACGACAGTCATCGTCTCATCGGTCGATGTTCAGAAAGAAGTCAGCAGTAAACCATCAGAAGTAATCTTGTGATTTATTATTGTAATATTTGTTCACAGACCCTAGTAAAACATTATTTTTATATGTTGGTGTTACAATAAAGAATTCCCAAGCGGCTAATCGGTGTTTTGGTTTTTTCGTCCGTTATTACTAAGCGTTTCTGAAAAACTTCAAGGAACAGCGTGAGCCCGAGCGTAGCAAGAGCTGGGCATTAACGGTTTACGAGACGTGACTGACAGTTTCTGATGGTAGAAACAGATCTGGCGGATTCAGACAGTTGGTGAAAGTTTGGATAGTCACCGTTCATCTTTCGTGGTGCCGGTCAAGTCCTCTTTGAACAAGCAATATCTGGAACGTTTTTGAAATTGGTTCAAGTTCAACAATGCCTGGGTCAAAGAAGGGACAGAGCGTCTTGGATGCAAACAGGAAAGTAAGTCATGGTGACTTGTCTGTTAATTGTAACGATGTGTCTGATGTTAAGCATGACATGGTTGATGTTACTGTTTCGCCGTTCAGGGATAATAGGAACATCAAACTCCCTAAATTAGAACCACGGTGTTTTGATGGAAACCCAGCTGATTATTTGCAATTTGTAAAGGAGTTTGAGATCATGTTGAGTAGTTTTCTATTAAGTGATGAATTGAAGTTAATGTATTTGGTGAGATATTGCACTGGAGATGCTGCAAGAGCTATACAGTGCTGTAAGTTTATGAAGCCAAAAGAGGGCTACTACGAGGCTATGAGCATATTACGTCAAAGGTTTGGAAGACCTTCGATGATTGCAGGGAAATTATTCGAGGCTGTTAAGGGTAATGGTGGTCAATTACAGGATGACTCCCAGGCACTCACTGAGTTTTTAGATAATTTGCTGATTTACAAGAATGCAATGATTTCGATGAATCGCATGAGTGACCTCAACTCGAGTTTTATACTAGAAGTAATAGCAAGACGCCTACCTACTCGACTGCAAAGGAAGTGGGTGAAGATAAGCTCCCGTATGGAGGATGAGGGTATCGAGCCAAAGTTTGATGATATCCTGAAACTGGTAAATACTAGTGTCAATCAATCTATGAGCAAGTTTGCCAGTCTATTACATCTCACCCCTAGAATAGAGCAGTCTGAGATCAAAATGCAATCATTGATGACGAGTAGGCCTCAGAGAGGTGGATATCGAGAAGGCTCCATGATGTCTAGTAATGCATATAGACCTAATGAGTGTAACAGGTTTCGTAGTACATCCTCAACAGATAAGTTACAAGATGCAAGACAAACACGGTTGTGTTTTACACGTTTGCAAGAGGTGCATACAAAGGTGGGCTGTGAACCAGTGAGCAAGTTCAGTGATAAGCTAAACGTAAACTCCAGGCCTGACTCCGAATTGTGTGACGATAACGGTGTGGTAAGGAAGCCTGTAGTTGCAACTGGTAAGCCATTGTTGAATAGAGTGTCACAGAATAGAGTTACTGCTTCAGAGTGCAGTTCTGACTCCACAAGTTTACAAAGTATAACTAGTCAGAGTGAAGATATAAAACCTTTAATGATTTGTGAGGAGGAACCAAAATTGTCTACTGCTGTTAACAAATAGTTTGAAAATGATGAACTTGACGGTAAATTGAATATTTGTGATAATGATCATGATACTTCACAGTTGTATTTGGTTGATCATGATGAAATGAGGGATATGCCTACTACTGCTAAGTTAATTAAAGGTTCTGTACAACTACAACGTGACGTAGAATTGAACGCAGATGCAGTTCCAGAAGGTGTGCATACTTGTGAGACAGTCAGTGTAATTGATCAGCGTGTAGCCCACCTATCATCAGATGCTATTGCTAAACCAGAGCTGATAGTAAAAGACAACAGTGGTAATCTTGCAGTCGGACAACTATCTGAAAGCCGAGCAACAACAGCTTCTGATCCACCGCTAAGTTCATCACCTTGTGTCATTCAGTCGTCGTTGGTGTTTACATCCACAATGAAAAAGACGCCCATGAACTCAAGTATCTTGTGCAATGACTATGCTAGTATCAGTTCGTTTGAAAGGACGAATATCAATGGTCAGTTTAGTGAGAATAAGCCAAGTGTAAACGAGAGAGTAATTGTTAAATTGACTTGCATGAATAAAGGCGTTTCTAGTTTCAAGTTACTATTTGAATGCTATTATCTTTGGTGTAAATTACTCTGTTTCTACACTTGGCTGATGAGATATGTCGTGTGTTTGTTCGTCATCTATATTCTACGATACAATGACATGGGTGTGTTGCCGTTCAGATTTGAGGATATAGCTGATAGAAGGAAGTCAGCAAATGAACTCTGCGACGATTTTCCAACCTAGGGCGTCAACCTGAGAATGGTTGTAGGCGTACTGCTGTAAGTCCTACAATTCTCCAAAGGGTAGCGCATCAGTTAGCAGTCCAGTGTGCTTGGTGTGTGATTTTGTACATATGTTCATATTGTATATACTGAATTGATATCATCTGTCATCTAGCTGTTGGTAATTCTGTTTGTGTCCGGACGACTTCCACTTGGATGATCAACCTGAGAAGGAATGTAGGCGTACTGCTGTAAGTCCTACGGTTCTTCAAGGGTAGTTTGTTGTACCAGAATCCACAACATTTGATGTGTTGATTGTACATATGTATGTGTTAAACAAATTGTGTGAGTTCCAATTATTGTAATTGTTGGTTAATCTTGTTTGTGTCCGAAAATTCCACAACTTACAATCGTCAACCTGTGAAGGGTTGTAGGCGAACTGCTCCAAGTCCTGCGATTCTTCAAAGGAATTCCTTCGAGAGACGATCTGCGAGTTTGTTTGTTCTGTTTGTATATATGTGTGGTATGTCCTATCAATTGGTGTTTTTGGATTAATTGTGTTTACTTGTTGTTTTCGTATCTTGTTGTTATTACATAATTTTGTTAAAATTTTCGTCGTGATTACTTCTGAAGTTGTGTCCACTCTTCTACATCCGTGAATGAATTGATTGATGTTAAGGACAGCAGATGGGTCGTTTAAGCCAGGGAGGCTAGGCTATTGCTGAGAATGAAATGCACACGGAGATAATTGTTAGCTGCGGTCCGGCACGCCGGGAGAAAGAGTGTAGACGACTAAGGCTTGCATACGTCATCGTTGCTAGAATTGAAGCGGAATGAGTGACAAGCGATTTCAGTGGTAATTGGTAGTGAGTAGATAAGAGGATGTGCTAAGAGTATCATGAGGTGCTGCTATGGACACGTTGCATTCTGCAAGAGTCATTCTAGCAAGTGGCGATTGTGTTGCAAGAGGATGCCTTTAACTGGAAGGTGCAGGTCGTCATTGATGTGTGAGATTGTGCTGTGGGTATGCTTGTGGTGTGTTGGCTTTTCTGTTTGTTTTGCATTTCTGCTCTGTCCGTGTGACCCAGATTCTCGCAATGGCATCCAAGTCAACGTGTATTGGTCGTGATGGAAAAAAGGGGTTGGATCCCTTTTTCTGGCGGGGAGTGTCAATGGAGTTGAAGATTGAACGATCAATTCATGGTTGTTTGCT